TAATATGCTTTCTATTCTGATATAGTGGGAAAAATACAGCCTGCAAGTTGTACAGAGTGCTGTTCCCACTGGATTTGTTTAGTCATGGTTAGAGCACTGAGCTCAGGTCTTCCTGTACAAGAGCAGCCAGGAAAAAACAAGACTGAGAGACTGCAGATGTCTTACAGAGGCCTTGGACATCACTGTGAAGAAGAGATTGAATAGGAGATTCTATAAACCATACAAATGGCATGTAGGCTAAAGAAAATTGAGAAGGTGTCGTATATCTGGTCTTGTTCTGACGGAGTCTTTGCATATTTAATCAGTTACCAGAGTCTGTAGATAATACAAATAAGCTTAAATTGCAAGGGAGTTCAAATTATATAGTGGGCAAGGGAAGGGTTTTAAGAATAGTCAAGCATGAGTGCGTTACTTGTAGGCTGGAGAATCTCCATGAGTAGGGTTTATTTATTTTATAAATATGGGTTTATAATATATAGCTTAACCTCGATCATGGAGATTCTCCAGCCCACAAGCAGTTCACTTGTGGATGCTATTGATTCTGCTTTGGTGTGAGAGTGTGTGAGGGGGCAGCAGCTTGAAGTTATCTTGACGAGGGAGACCAAGATGGTTTAAAGTGACGAGAGAGGCTAAACTGGATTAGTAAAATACTGCCCTATGAGTTGAGATTCCAAAGTAGCTGATGGCTGATCATATGCTTTTCTCAGGTTAGTCCTCTGTTTATCTATTTTGTGAACCAATTCTCATGTGTTGCATCCTGCCTGTGGGATTACTCACCTGGTACTAGAAGAATTGTGTTCTCTACTCTGTTGGTCTGCCTCTGCAGAAATCTAAATAACAAACATTGACGTTTTTATTGGCAACTCTCCCAAAAGCTTAAATTCCCTGGCATACCAAGGGTACTTGTGTAGTACTGAGTTATTTACGATGGTCTAGAAAAATTGTCTCTATCATTCTGCCTTCTATAGATTGAAATACAGCTTAACAAGACTGACTGTAATGTCCACACCTCTCTTATGTGACTTTTTCAAGGCTTTGGAGGTTCTTTTATCGCTCCCTCTCCATCACCATCCCCAGTCACTCCCGCTCAAACCAGCCTTCTACAGCCGAACTTTGATGCAGCTTTTGGGACAACAGCTCCAACGACTGGCAGCTCGTTTGATGCATCAGGTGAGCCACAGGGTTTCTTCCTGTGCATTTTCTGATGTGTTTATGTGTTAGATGACTTAATGACACCATATTTAGGCTTCGAGTCCAAGTGATATCAGTGATTTCCCTATTCCTTCTCATACTGGAAGAACTCAGGGTGGTGTTTAGGCTGGTGTGCCCTCAAGAGCTCTCCGTTTTTTATTCTACTACGTCAGTGAAAATCAAATGACTGTGAACATCATCCTTGCATGTGCTTGATTGCATGAATCAGGAATTATGCAAGGGAAACACTGTTCTGTAAATCAAGTATACAGGCGAGTCATCTTTGCTGCTGTTGAAGCTGTTCTTGAGCTTGCATGGCAGCTGAAGGTACACAAAACGGAGACCGAGGTCATGTTCTTTGCCTGACTAAGCTTAAACTTTCATCACTGCTATCATTTTGTTTGTATCTCTTCCATTCTATATTTTCCATGCTGGGTCCTTGCTACAAACTTAAAATTGGTGAGTTCTGCAACTGGTCAAGGGGGAAAAAAAAAAAAAAAGGTTGAAGTAGTACTGCTGTTTGGTGATTTGGTTGCTTGCCAGTGCACATGCTACCCCTTCCTGTTGACTTAGCATGTACCTCAAATACAGATCAGAAGATAGAACACTGGCATGAGATATACCAGGCTGTTTGGCTTCAAGGGATCCAAAAAAATTGAACTTCTGAGTTAGTCAGACTAAGGAGGGTAGCTCTGTCAGTGTGGATGGTTCTGGTTCCTTCTGATCTCATAAGATGTTAGAAGGCTTTCCCAACTCCCTGCTGCTTGCAAGTGAATAGTAGCATCTTGAGACTTTCAATCCTGTTGCCGTAAGATGTCGAGGTACAAGGCTGCCTTTGCCCCAGTAATTCTGACTGGTGTTTGCTGCAAGATGTTCATTTTAAAAGCCTTTAAATGAATATCTCCTGACAAATGTGTGTGTGTCTGACATCTCTCTAAGGATGGCTGTAAGAAACAGTGTCATGTGGAAGTGGTGCTGTATCTATGTAGATTCAACTCTCCAATGGAAGTCCTTTTGGGCATGTTCTCTCATGGTAGTTCTCATTGGTGTAGCTCTTTCAGGATTACTGTACATTCAGTGTCTAGTAGAACGACATGCATGCCCTCGTTGGCATTACTTTTAATGTCAAACTGTGTTTTGGTAAGACTTGTGACGTGGTTGTCTGTGCTATACTTGTTGGAGCAACAACGAAGGAATTTTTTATGGTGTCTGCTGTTTCTAACGCACTTTCCCTTTGCTTCCAGTGTTTGACGGCCTAGGTGATCTTCTTATGCCAACTATGGTTCCTTCTGGTCAGTCCATAGCACCTGCAGCCACACCAACAGTCCCTGCTTCAGCAGCAAGCAAAGGCCTCGGAAGTGATCTTGACTCGTCTCTTGCAAACCTAGTAGGCAGTAAGTGAGAAATTTTGGTTCCAAGTGGTGTGACGTACGACTGCGTTCCTCTTCTGTGGAGCCAAATGAAGTGTGGGATGAATTGTGTGCAACAGCCAGGAACAGACCTTCTCTCAGTGAACATTCCAAAACATGTTCTTGAAATCCTAAACAGAAAAGTATTCCCTTTCTTGTAGCAGGAAATGGCTAGGGCCTTTATAACTAGAGATCAGTAGCCCCAGAACTCAAAAAAAACCACCATCCTTAGGTGTCAGCAGGACTCTTTATCACTTGAAACGTCTTCTGCAAGTCATTTGGTATGTCCAAGTTTGGGGGAGAGATTAGTCAAACTACGATTTGTGACTTACAGGACCTTTACTGGTCATGTGCAAAGAGTATTCTTTAAAACTTCTTCCAAAGGGTAATTAAGGAAACTACACATGGAGTTCCCATGAGCAGATAAAACAGTCCCAAACTTCCAGGTGACATTCAGATTTACTTGTATGTGAAAAATAGCTTTTTATTTAAGTATGTGTAATGAGAAACACAAACTAGTGTTGTCATGTACGGTAAATAGTTTCGGTGCTCTTAAATAAGCGTTTTGTAGACCCACATATATTGTTACTTTGGTCTGTTTATGGAGCAAAAGTGGCTTTCCCAAGCATAAGGCATCTGCCAGGTTCCTCAGAAGTTTATCCTGAAGGAAGGGAACGATGTGGCCAGGATTCTGATGCTGTCTAAATAAAGACAGCCAAGTCTTTATTACGTTGTATAAGTCCCTGTGCAATGAAATGTGAGCTGTGACTTCTACATGCTTTAACTTATTAAACACATGACTTTTCTTTTTTCTTTACAATTTTCAGATCTTGGAATTTCTGGTACCACTTCAAAAAAGTAAGTTCAACTTCGTTTACAAAAAAAAATAATTTTTGACTCTGCTGTATAGTCTTCCATCTATTTCAGTGTTTATTAAAAATCAATGAATTGGCCATGTGCCTGTTCCCCCACTCCCAAAAAAAATCATTTCAGAAAAATTCTGGAAAAAGTATTCTATTCTATACAGATTAACTGAATAATTAAGGTTAAATGTTCCTGA